TATCTATATATATATATATATATCTCTATATTGGTATCCATATATTTATATATATATATTGATCTCATATATGTATATAGATATATGTATATATATATTCTGCATATATCTATATATAGGTATATGCATATATATATATATATTGATTAATGCATATATATATGAATAAGGCTTGCATGATGAATTATAATGGATATGAATATCTATATATGGATAATGCATATAGATATATATATGGATATTCATCTATAGATATTATGATAGGCCTATATATATATAGTATGATTTCCTATATATTATATATGGATATGCATAATATATAGTATGGCTATGCATATATTTATATATGGATATGCATATATATATATATAGGGATATGCATATATATATATTATGGATAGGGCATCTATAATATTATGGATATGCATATATTGTATATATATAGATTATATATATTAATAGTCTATATATATATTATAATGATAATATATATATGGATATGCAATATGTCTATATATATATAATATATATATATATATATTATATATATCTATATTATATATTAGTTATATCATATATAGTATATATATTTATATAGTTATATATAATATATATATATAGAATTTGATCATGCATATATTATATATCTAATATCTATCTTCTCTTGATATGCATATCTGTATATATAAAACTTAATGCTATATCTCTATACAATCTCTCCTATAATAGATATCTCTTTATCTCTATCTCTATCTATATATATATATATATTATCTCATATCTATAATATATCTCTCTCTATATGGATCTGCATCTCTGCTATATATATAGCTATCTATCTCTCTCTATTCATCTATCTATCTCTATCTCATCGCTACTATTTATATACTATATCTCTATATCTCTCTATATATAATCTATATATCTCTATATATATATATATATCTCTATCTGCTTGTTCTATCTCTCTATCTATATCTCTCTCTCTCAATCTATATCTTCTATATATTATATCTATCTCTTGTCTATCTAGCTCTCTTTATCTCTATAATATCTTCTATATATCTATATATCTCTCTCCTTCTCTCCCTCTATAATCTATATATATATGGATCTACATAATATGTATATATATATATCTCTGGATATACATATATGTATATATATTCTCTAATCTGGATATACATATCTGTGTATATATATTTATGATCTACATAAGTGTATAATATATATCTATGGATATACATAATATGTATATCTATATATAATGGCTATACATATCTGTATCGCTAATATATTATTTAATGATGCAAATATATTGTACATATATGCATATTAATGTATATGTATATTTATGTATGTAAATATATCTGTATGGTATATGTACATAATGCATATCTATGTCTGTGTATTCCATAGGTATGTATAATGTGTTATATAATTATATATAGTATCATTATATATCAGTATATATCTGTTATAGGTATTAGACGGATATATATGTATATGTATATATAAGTATATATATGTAATAAAAACATCTATATGTTATATTTGTATAATGTATATTTTGATGATAGATATGTATATCCCTATTGGTGTGTGTATGTGTATGTGTATATTTATACATAAATTTCTAATATATGTGTATATATATATACTCTATATATATGTGTGCTTATGTATGTACGTATTATATGTATATATATGTATGTACATGACTATATGTATATATGTGTACATATATGTATATATGTATTATATGTGTGACATAATATGTTATATATGTAATTATGTGTACATATATGTATATATGTTATATGTGTAATATATGTATATATTATGTTGCTTCTGTAGGTTACGTATATATATGATCTATATGTATGTACCTGAATATAATGTCTGATATGTGTCATATATGTATATAATGTATATATGATGTACATAATATTTATATATTCATACATATGTGTACATATATTTGACTATGTATATATGTGTAGCATATATGATAATATACTGTGTCTTCTGTATATATTATATATAGGTTACCTATATTATTATGTCTATGTGTGTACATTATGTATAGATTATATATGTGTCATATTGTATAATATGTATATATGTTACTATATGTATATATGTATATATGTGTACATAATTGTATATATGTATATTGTAGTCATATATGTATATATGTATATATGTGTACATTATGTATATATGTATATATTGTGTACATATATGTAATATATGTCGATATGTGGTACATCTATGTATCTATGTATATATGTGTACATCTATGTCTATATGTATATCGTTTACCTATATTTATATATGTATATATGTGTACATTATGTATATATGTCTATATGTGTACATCTATGTATATATTATATATGTTACCTATTATGTATATCTGTCATAGTATGTGTACAGATATGTCTAAGTATATATTTGACATCTATGCATATATTATTTATGTGTTTATATATGTATGGTACACATTGGGGAGGGGGGGGGGTGTATTAGGTATTATATGAATTTATAATTATATATTGTATATATTGTTGTATGTATACATGTTATATATGTACTCTCTGATATATCTATATCTATATATATATATATACTATATATATATATATATAATATATATATATATGTGTGTGTGTAATCTATGGATCATATGTTGGTATAATCTGGTATATGTGTTCTCTGGGCTATCTGTGTCTCTATGTTATATATGTCTATCTGTCTTATATGTCATATTGTATGTGTTTATCCTTTTTATATATTTATATACTTCGTATATGTTATAGTTCTTAGATGTATATATTACTCTATATATATAGCCTATGTATCTATGTTTTATTTAGATATGCTATTTATGTATATGTATATATTATATGATATGCATTTTATATGTATCTATAGGTATTGTATGTGCATATATATGATGTATATGTAAGTATGGCATTTCTCACGGTTCAATGTGCTGGAAACCAGCTCAGTCCTTTCCTTCTCTGCCCTTCAGATTGTGCCTTCAGCAACAGCCTCGGCCCCGATGAAATCATTGATTATCGACTATTGTCAAGAAGGCAACGTAAGTAATTACTATTTGTATTGGTACATGGGAGCGGGTAGGTGGGGAGCGGGGAGTTTTGACTTGGAGAAAATAGATGAACTTGCATGTATCCGAATTATTATAACATTTAACTTCTGGTCATAATTGAATTAATCTCCTTGTTTGGGGATTTGTATTTTCCTCTTACGAGATATTACTAAACCGCCCCAACCACCACCACCGCTTACAGATTCGCCACTGGATCATGCTGTTCCGATTTACAACATTTGATATAAGTGAAACAAATTACTCTTTGACGTGCGCGGCCTACGTCACTGTGATTACCTACCACAGCATAAGCGAATCAGTCCCTCTGTAGTTTCAGTGTAGCAAACCTTTTATTCGGAACCAAGATGATATCCCGCTTTCTACAAATTTCCCTAACATCTTTTCGCAAATGATAATTAGCAAGGGAGAGAAGACAAGTACCTCTTTCAATCCTCGTACTTTCAAACAGATTCAAAGAGGGTGAGACTGGAATTTCCTTGTTACATTTTCTGACGAGAAGATGGAATTAAAATGTCTCTAAGTGAGCGAAAAGAGAGATAGAATTCCGCACTTTTCTACACCTTTCGCCTTCCCCCCCCCTCGAGTCGGTCTGAACTCTTCCTCCACAGGGCTGCGAGGAGAGGAAGATCCCGAGTTCTCAACTGGGCGTGCGTGGAAGCAGGAGAACGCTCCTCGGAGCTGACCAGATGGAGGTCTTCTTCATGCTTTTCGGCTACTTGGAGGCAACAACAAAGAGGGTAACTTGTTTTCATTTATGTGTGTATTATTGTCGTGTGTGTGCTCGTGTGCGTTTGAGTGTGCGTTTGCGTGTGCATTTGCGTGTGCATTTGCATGTGCTGCGTGTATCTGTCGCCTGTGTCGAGCCTTCTTCTCTCTCATCTGTTGATAACGGATTATTGCAATATTTATAATTAAAAGATAGAGGATACTCTCTCTTTCGCTGAACCAGGTTGATTAGAATTGGACATGGCGGCGCCTGTGGCATCGATACCTGAAGACCGGCTCTGACGTGACGCTGATCGCTGCTTCCCTCTCGCGAAGAAGCACCAGCAGCAAGCCTCCGGAGCCCACTGACGCCCAGCATCAATCAAGGTGCGGGGCCGAGTGAACGTCCTCGACGGGTAAGTGTCGCGATGTGTTATCCTTGGATCCAATTTCGTCAAGTGTTGAATTCTGTAGTGAACTCATGTTTTTTTTTCGGTATTCGTTTTGGTACTTCCTTGATTATGTATTAAGAATTTAAAGACAAGAAAAACCACATGACTTGTACTGGAAAAAAAAAATGTATATGGTGTTAATTATAAAAAAAAAATTATAATGTATGTATATGTATATATATATGTATGTATATGTATATAGATAATGTATGTATATGTATCGTATAATAATGTAGGTATATGTATATATACTATATATATATATATATATATATATATATATATAATATATATTATATAGATATATATATATATATATTATATATATATATTTAGTTATGATGTGTGTGTGTATATATAGGATATATGTGTATATATGGATTATGTGTATATATGGATATATGTGTATATATGTATATATATGTATATATGGATATATATGTATATATGTATGTGTTTATATTGTATATTATATTTATATACATTCGTATATGTATATTTATGTAGATGTATATATTAATATATATATGCATATGTATATATGTTTATATTTATATATGAATATTTATGTATATGTATATATTATATATATGCATTTATATGTATATATAGGTATATGTATGTGCATATATATATATGTATATGTAGTATGCATTTCTCACGGTTGATGTGCTGGAAACCACTCAGTCTTTCCTTCTGCCCTTCAGATTGGTGCCTTCAGCAACAGCCTCGGCCCCGATGAAATCATTGATTACGACGTATTGCAAGAAGGCAACGTAAGTATTACTATTTGTATTGGTACAGGGAGGAGGGGAGGGGGGAGGGGGAGTTTTGACTTGGAGAAAATAGATGAGACTTGCATGTATCAGGGAATTATTATACATGTAACTTCTGGTCATAATTGAATTAATCTCCTGGTTGGGGTTTGTATTTTCCTCTTACAAGTTTAACTGCCCCCACCACCACCCCCTTACAGATTCGCCACTGGATCATGCTGTTCCGATTAAACAGTTGATATAAGTGAAACAAATTACTCTTGACGTGCGCGGCCTACGTCACTATGATTACCTACAAAAGCATAAGCGAATCAGTCTCTGTAGTTCAGTGTAGCAAACCTTTTATTCCGGAACCAAGATGATATCCTCTTTCTACAGATTTCCCTACCTCTTTTCGCAAATGATAATTAGCAAGGGAGAGAAAGACAAGTACTTCTTTCAATCCTCGTACATTTCAAAACAGATTCAAAGAAGGGTGAGACTGGAATTATCCTTGTTACATTTTCTGACGAGAATATGAATTTAAAATGTCTCTGAAGTGAGCGAATAGAGAGATAGAATTCCAGCACTTTCTACACCTTTCGCCTTCCTCGAGTCGGGTCTGAAACTCTTCCTCCACAGGGCTTCGAGGAGAGGAAGATCCCGAGTCTCAACTGGGCGTGCGTGGAGCAGGAGAACGACTCCTCGGAGGCTGACCAGATGGAGGTCTTCTTCAGGCTTTTCGGCTACTTGGGAGGCAACAACAAAGAGGGTAACTTGTTTTCATTTATGTGTGTAGTATGTAGTGTGTGTGCGCGTGTGCGTTTGCGTGTGCGTTTGCGTGTGCATTTGCGTGTGCATTTGCATGTGCATTTGCGTGTATATGTCTGCCTGTGTCGATGCCTGCTTCTCTCTCTCTGTGATAAACGGATTATTGTCATATTTATAATTAAAGATAGAGGATAAAGCATCTCTTCGCTGACAGGTGTTAGAATGGACATGGCGGCGCCTGTGAGCATCGAGTACCTGAAGAACGGCTCTGACGTGACGCTGAGCGGCTGCTTCCTCGTCGAGAAGAAGCACCAGCAGCAGCCTCCGGAGCCCACTGACGCCAGCATCAAAATCAAGGTGCGGCCGGAGATGAACGTCCTCACGAGGTAAGATGTCGCGATGTGTTTATCCGTTTGGATCCATTTCGTCAAGTGTGAAATATCTGTAGTGAACTCATGTTTTTTCGGTATTCGTTTGGTACATTCCATTGATTATGTGATTAAGATTTAAGGAAAAGAAAAAAAATGACTTGTACTGGAAAAAAAAAATGTATATGTATATATATAATGTATGTATATGTATATATATAATGTATGTATATGTATATATATAATGTATGTATATGTATATATATAATGTATGTATATGTATATATATATATATATATATATATATATATATATATATATATATATATATATATATATATATATATATATAATGTATGTATATGTGTATATATGCAACGTATTAAACCAGATTAATATCCTGTAGGAAGTTCGGTGGGTACGCAACCTCCGACTCGGTTTGGCTCCGGGAGACGGCTGCCCTCAAGGCCATCCTCGCAAGAGCCGGGAAGGAAGCACGCACCGATCTAATGTACTGGTGAGTGGACGGTTAATGGTTAAAGAGCAATGGTTAATGGTTAAACAAATGTGCTAGCACTATGAAAAAGAACTGTGGCGAAAAGGGTAAAGGTGAGTTAGCGATTAGAATAAGTGGACAGCAAAAGGGGGTAAGGAAGAGAAGGAAAAGGAAAGGAGGTGAGGAAAAGACCAAGCGAAATTAGTTTAGACGAGGGCTGAGGTCCAAGGCAGCGGTGGTCCCCTACATTGGAACTCCCCCCCCCCCCCCCCGCGACAACAACGAGCAAGGTATTGGGGAGGAGGGGGGGGGTTGAAGAGCAAATAAATGTGCTAGATATGAAAGGTCATGTAGCATTATAGGAAGGTAAAGTAGTAAAAAGGGTAAAGAGGGGAGGGCGAGGTAATGCTTAAATGTCCGAAGTCGTGCAGCGCTTTAGAATAGTATGGTCTTGAAAAGGGTTAAAAAGAGTGAGTAAATGAGGTAAGGCAGGGATTAGCAAAAGGGGAAAGGGGGTGATTAGATCAAATGGAGGAAAAACAGAAGTTAAATTCAGTGAGGATAGTTGGTAAAAAGCAGCCTCAAATAAAGATACAATTTCCCTATTGTTGGCTTTGGAAAGCCTAAAATACGTGTGGAAGGTAAGCGGCCCAACCCTCAGGATCACGGCTACGACCACTACAACTTCCTCGATACTATCTGTCAACCCTATCCATCCTGAATCATCACCCAGGTCATTACTCAACTTCCAGAATACATCCCCTTCTCTCTCCTAACTTCCATCTCTTCCTGCAGTCTTTATTTTCTACCCCCTCCTCCTCTTCATCCTTATTGTTTCGCTTGTAGTGATAACTTTTCCATGCTCCCACGTCTCAGTCGAAGCGCATTGGTGCATTCAGTGTTCCCCCGTGGAGCACATTTAGATGTGTATGGTCCGGAAGTTTGTTGCATTGTTGCAAAGGCAGCACTCAGGACAGTGACTGTGAAATGTGAAAGCATGTCTGAGGTGGAAGAGAAGGATGATGAAGAAAGGGCAAGAATAAAGAGAAACGTATGTCAGTCTGCTCTATCAAAGCACCAGCGTTGGTGGTTGGGGAGCGTTTCCTTTGGAAGTAGGAGAGAGAATAGGAAAGTGATCACTACAAGGAACGTGGTCCAAAACTGACCAGTGGAAGTCTAGCTGAAGGGAAGAACACCAAAGGGAAAGGTCTAGGCACAAAAAAGTTTGGGTTCGCATGTCAAAGAAGGATGAGGTCAGTGTTAGAGAGAAAGCGTTCCAGGGATCGGTCTTGGGAAGTAGTGGTAGTCACCCCCAAAGAGTGTGCCGACAGTTGAAGTTGAGAAAGTAAAGTTTGACAGGTTTTAAAGTCAATGAGAAGAGAAGGGGAAAAGAAAATTGAAACTATTGTGGACCAGCGGCGAAGAAAGATGCAAATAATTACGAAAGTGGCAGTGGTTTGAAAGGGATGTACAGTTTTTTTTGATGAATGAGTATAGAGGAGACAGATAGAGTGAGGGGATGGTACAAAATGATGGATTGTACAAAATGATAATGTGGAATGGTTACTGGAGTATGTTTTAGGAAAGTTTCTTTGAGACAAATAATGGATGGATTGTAGGGAGATATCAGGCGACAGAGATCAAGTCTGTGAGAACGAAAACCTCGAAAATTCCACTGTAGAAGAGCCACTGTGAAGCAATTGATGAGTGATAAAGGTAGAAATGGGTGTCTGAGAAGTAGGAGGACGTGCATCCGGGGATTGAGGTAGGGGGTCAGGGGAAGGTGGTTTAGTATCAGGAGGTTAATTCGGGGAAGGACATTGTTGCGACAAAAGGGATTCACGTGAGTATTCAGGAGGGAGCGGAGGGATAGTGAGGAAGGAAGTGGGGTGGTGAAGGAGGAGGATAGGATGAGGTGTTTTGGGAGGGTGTTGGGGGATGAGGGGTAGGAGGATATGAGGATGAGGAGGGCGGATGTCTGCAGTCATCTTGAATGTAGATGGAATGGGAGTAGAGAAACTGGAGGATGGGTGTGAGAGAGGAGCATTCTCTTGGGGTCATCTTGGAAGTTTCGGATGTCCTCAAGGGTTTCTGGAGTGGACTTGGGTGGGGAAATTTTGGAAACGAAGGATTGTTTATGAGGAGGTGCAGAGGAGATAGGCATCTGAGGAGTAAAGGATGTAGGTGTGGGAAGGGATGTGGTGGGAGAAGATGGGTGGAAAGTTCAGATTGTCTGGTGCGACAGGTAAGGCGACGACGGGGGACAGACGTAGTTGTGGATATTGGAGTATCTGGATTAGAGTGGAAAAAGGATTTGACTGTGAGATAGGGGAAGTAGAGGTAGGAAGGTGAGGAGTAGGAGGAAGAGTTATTGTGGAAGATGTAGAGACAATTTGAGGGGAGAGGAGTGAATCGATAGATAGTACTGTATTAGGGAGTGATAAACAAATCTCGTCGGTGTACCTCCTGTCTGGCCTCTCGTAGACAAGTAGCATTTCTTAGATACAAACTTGGCCTCAGGCCCCATCCAGACAAACGGTTAGTGCCCGTCGGCCAATCACTGTACCAAATAATGTTCCAAACCATCGTTTAGGGGGTGGTTGGCAGGCCTGAGTGTAGATAAGTCATAAGCGGGGAATCAACGAATGATCATGCACGTTGTTTAGGCACTGCCTGCTGGGTTGATGTACTTTCTTTCTGCACTTAGCATTGATAACTGCACATAAAGCTATACATTTAGCTCTCATTGTCTTGCGACAATTCCTTCTCCCCATGTTGCTATACTGCATTTTGGCAAATATTAGTGTAGACCGCTGCCCGACGTTTACTGGACAACCACTACAATCACTACCTCACCGCAGCTCGATGGTAGCCGATGACCGCTGGGAACTGCTCGATCTGGTAACACTACTAATCAAGCGTGAAAAATTCACTCACCGGCCATTGTATCTGAGAACTGCTACCTCAAACTCAAATTTGTAGGAAGAGCACTTCCTATAAAACATGGGAGCCAACGCAGTTGGTACATGTAAGCGATTATGCCGGCCAATTTGATCGGCCATGCCAAGGCTGGGCACATAGACAGCAGCGAGCTGTAGAGCGACAGTGCTTTGCAGTGTGGCCAATATTTCTGACATTGATGGTAGGGGGGGGGGGTGATATAATCTTACAGTGCAAGATTCCCCGCCGATATAGAACTTGTGGGGTAAGTTATGTCTACAGAAGATAATCTTGGTAATATTGATGTGGAGGTTATGGCGGCCTCTAGAGATATAGTGCAGATTTATACTGATGTTGCATCACATTTAGCGAGGCAGGCAAATAAGTCATCTTCACAGTCTGACCAATCCTTGTAAACAGGACAATCACCTGAGAAGATGGAAACGGTACAAGTATTAAGGGAAGTGTGGGGATAGGCAGGAATAGGTTTACCAGTGAGGTCAACCAGGGTAGATTGTGCATTGACTTGGGACTCAGATGTAACTTTGACAAGGCGTGAACGATCGGGACGGTTGCGGAAGGAAACTTTGCCTACTTGATTTTGGAAGTACTGTTGGAAGAGTAGGACATTGTCAGAGTAAAGGGCTGTAGGTAGAATCACAAAAAATCGATCACAATTAGCTGGGTTAATCAGAGGTAGTGCTGAGGGGAAGAGGGGAATAAGGTTAAAGAGTTGTTATAGATGGGGTGCAGGATAGTGGGAGTGAAGAAGTGGTATTTTTTTTCTAGGGCAGAGTTATAACCTGCGTAGATGATTCAGGATGGGCCGAGGAGGGGATATAGGAACAGTGGTCAGAGCCGTAATCAAAGATAAGTTTGTGGTCGGTAAACCAGAGGAGTTTGATTCAGGAAGGCTAGTTGAATAAAGTCCAAGCCTCTGTGCCCCTAACAAGGGTACAAATTTTCATTACTGGTCATGGCGTGAAAACGTGGCGAATTAACCTAGGGAATACTGTGCCCATGGCTTCCTGAGGCCTTTTCATGACTGACACAAAGTCAGCCTTTCATCCCTTCAACATGGCTCTCACACCTAAGGAAGTGGATAGTACAAGGGGTTGGAGAACAGAAGGAGGAGGAAGAGGGAAGACCGTGCGAAATTAGTTGAACCGAGGGCTGAGGCCCACTGCAGGGGTGATCCTCAGCACTGGGCCTTCAGTCTCCATCTCCTAGGAGTGGAGCATGTTGAGAGAGAAAGGGTGTATTCTGAAGGTTGAGTAATGACCTAGCTGAATTATTCGGAATGCATAGAGTTCACAGCAAACATCGAGGAGGTGGTATTAGTATCAGTGGTCGGAGCCGTGCTCAAAGGAGAGGCAGGGGTCAGGAAAGCAGAAAAGTAAAATTTAAATAGGCTAGTTGATGAAGGGGCAAGCCTTAAGGGTAAAAAAAAATCTTCATTATTGGCCCTGGATAGCCTGAAATAAATATATGTGCTAGAATCAAAGGCCATATAGCACTATAGAAAGGTGCAATAGTGCAATAGGGAAAAGGGTGAAGAAGGGAGTTAGTTGGTGATCAAATGCGCTACAAATCAGAAATCATATAGCAGTTCAGAAAGGTAGGGATTAACAAGGCTGATTAGATCGAAGTTGTCACAGGAAGTACTATTAGATCACAGTTTCAGGAAAAAATGTTAGGAGAGAGAGAATTCACGGAAGGGGGTTGCTGAGACAAAGGGTCACATGTGTATGCAGGGGGAATCAGAAGGGATAATGGGGAATAAATGTGGGGGGAGGTGAAGTAGAGGATGGTAGGAGAGGAAAGTTTTCTGGAGGTTGAGCAATGACCTGGGTGGGCGATTTGAATCGGACCGAGGTGATAGTACTCATTATGATAAAGTATTGTGGCGAAAAGGGTAAAAGAAATAGTTGAGGAGAGGGCTAAGGTCCAAGGCAGGGCTAATGACTACTGGTTAAAAGCAAAATAAACATGCTTGACATCTAAGGTCATGTAACACTACAGGAAGTTGTAGTAAAGGATAGTGAAGGGCGGTTGAATAAGTAGTTAGTTGCAATACGTCAACAACCTAGAGTAATATTGGAAAGGTTACAAGGAGTTGATGAGTTGAAAGGGCTAAGGTAGGATTAGGTAAGGGGGACTAGATCAAGTGAATGACGTGTATGCACCTGAGGAAGGAGAACAGGTGGTCAAAGCAGAAAGTGTGGGATTCCATAATGATGTCTGACAGGTTGGGAGGTCGGTGAGGGGAGGATAGGTACAGGCTGGAGCAAAGCGTGGACAAGACAACAGAAT